GTTTAGTGATTTTTTGTATCTAATAAAAACTCACCATACATACCCCGTAACCTATGTTGAAAATGTCTTAGATAGTAGAGCAGCACCTACTACCCAAGCCCAACATGTTCCGTTCTCTGAAGTCGGGATCCTTTTGCTGGGGCTTTTTTGAGGGAGAAGGGTCTGTAGTACACAAGAAGCACCCCAAAGCATCGATGATAATTTTGAAGACCCTGAACCCTAAACCCTAAACCCCAAACCCTAAACCCTAAACCCTAAACCCAAAACCCGAAACCCTAAGCCCGAAACCCTAGGCATGGTCCGTGGGGCCTCGAAGGGCTCGGGCGACTGTCGTAGAATCCGGACCAACCTCGAAGCGCGGTTTGGGCTTAGGGCTGTTTAGGGTTTAGGGTTTAGGGTTTAGGGTTTAGGGTTTAGGGTTTCGGGTTTCGGGTTTAGGGTTTCGGGTTTCGGGTTTAGGGTTTAGGGTTTAGGGTTTAGGTTTTAGGGTTTAGGGTTTAGGGTTTAATGTTTAGGGGTTAGGGTTTAGGGCTGTTTAGGAGGGTACCGGATGGAATCTTGGGGCTTACAGGGTTTGGAGGGTTTATGGGGTTGTGTAGGGTTGTTTGGTCTTCTGCTTCTTCTTCTTCTTCTTCTTTTTCTTCTTCCTCCCTTTTGGTTAAGAGTTTAGGGCTTAGAGCTGTGGGTTTAGGGTCTGACTATGAAACCGCAAGAAACCTTTTGAAGCCAGACACCCGAAACCCGCATCCCCCCCAAAATCCCCACGTAATCCCTACACCCTAGCTCTAGACCCTGACCCTAAACCCTAAACCCGAAACCCCCAAACCCTACACCCCAAACCCCCAAAGCCAAACCCTAAACCCTAAACTGCAAAACCAAAACCCTAAACCCCAAAGTCCAAACCCTAAACCCTAAGAACTTAAACCCCGAAACCGAAGCCCCTAAACCCCCGAAGCAAAAACACCCCGAAACCCAAAACCCAAAACCCTAAACCCGAAACCCAGACCCGAAACCCAGACCCGAAACCCGAAACCCTAAACCCTAAACCTCAAAACCCCAAAACTCCATGGCCAGGGCACATGGGCAGCAGGTCCACGCAGACGAAGGAGTCGAAGTGAATCGACTGAGCCTGGTTGCTGACCACAAGCTTAAGTTGAAGTGCCTGGGGAGTGTGGGGTGTATGGGGTTTAGGGTTTAGGGTTTAGGGTTTAGGGTTTAGGGTTTAGGGTTTAGGGTTTGGGGCTTAGAGCTTTTGGTTTAGGGATCGGGGTTCGGAGCGTTCGGTTTTTGGTCCGGCTTGGGAGTCCGGAGCGACAGTTTGCTTATGCTCTGGAAATGTCCCCCAAAACCTCTGCAATGAGACGCTAAGCTCGTGAACCCGAAACCCTAAACCCTAAACCTCTTAAGACCCTTGTCTCTCAAAAGCCCTTGAACTGTTAAATCCCAAATCCCAGAAAGCCCTTAGACCCCTGAACCCCCTCATCATCGGAAGCCTGAAACCCCTAAACCCTTGGACCCCCAAACCCTAAACCCTAGAACCAATAGAGCCCCTGAACCCTAAACCCTACAACCCTTAGAGCCCCTGAACACTCAACCCTAAACCCTACAACCCTTAGAGCCCCTGAACCCTAAACCCTAAAGCCTGAAATCCTTCAAGCCCCTGAACCCTCAACCTAAACCCTAACACCCTGAAGGCCCCCAGAACCCTAAACCCTTAAAAACCCTGAACCCTAACCCTAAAGCCTGAAACCCTTAAAGCCCCTGAACCCTGAACTCTAAACCAAACCCTAAAACTATTAAAGACCCCGAACCCTAAACCCTGAAACCCTTAAAGCCCCTGAACTGTCAACCCCAAACCTTAACCCTGAACCCGAAACCCTAAACCCCAAAAGCCCTTGAAGCCCATGATCCCCCCGACCCACCCACGAAGCACCGCCTTCTCCAAAAACACCTCTTGAGAGCCACTGCTATCCTTGACCTGACATTGTGGTTTAGGGTTTAGGATTTGGGGTTTGGGGTTTGGGGTTTGGGGTTTAGGGTTAGAGTTGGGGGGTTGAGGTTTCAAACCAGTTTAGGGTTGAGTGTATCTAGTGGGTCCAACAAAGCGCCGAACCCCCAAAGCCCTAGGCCCTTGGCTTTGGCTTAAGAAGGGTATCCTTCTTGGTTTGAAGAGCTTTAATCAGGGAACCTACGCACTAAACCCTAAACCCTGAACCCTACATCCTAAACCCTAAACCCCATCTAACCCCGAATGGGCCTAAACCCTAACCCCTAGACCGTAAACCCTAGACCCTAAACCCTCAAGATCTTCCTTCGTTTAAAGGGGCTCTCTGTCATGAAAGGCTCGACTCTGTGAAAAAAAAACCTCTGTTCGAGCAACCCCTGCAAGATATGGCAGTATGAAGTTCCTTCCAGGCTCAGGGAGTTCAGCACCCCTCGGGTACTCCCTAAACCCTAAACCCTAAACCCTAAACCCTAAACCCTAAACCCTAAAGCCTAAACCCTAAACCCTAAACCCTAAACCCTAAAGCCTAAACCCTAAACCCTAAACCCTGCACCCCTACACAGCTTCGCGCGAAAGCCGCACGAGCCCACCTGCACTGTCGCCAGCGCTGTCAGGAATGCCAGGCACCACCTCAAGGCGCGCTGCATGACATTACCTGGTTTAGGGTTTAGGGTTTAGGGTTTAGGGTTTAGGGTTTAGGGTTTAGGGTTTAGGGTTCAGGGTTTAGGGTTCAGGGTCACGATTAGCTATCAGGCTCTACCAGTAAGAAGTCAGGCCTGAACCAAGGGCTTATGCCTTCCACGCATCCCTCATGGTTGACAGGCCAGGGTTTAGGGTTTAGGGTTTAGGGCTTAGGGCTTAGGGCTTAGGGCTCAGGGTTGAGGGTTTAGGGCTTAGGGCTTAGGGCTTAGAGCTTAGGGTTTAGGGTTTAGGGTTTAGGGGACGTAGGTACTTGGAGGTTCATGGTACTTATTAACCAAGGACAACTTTACTTATAACCCACCTATAATCCCCTGACGTGCACCAATATGTTTATAAGTACAGTTTTAAGTACAGTTATGATTGGTAAGCAGTACCATGAACCTCCAAGTAGGGTTTCGGGTTTCAGGGATTGGGGCTTAGGGATTGGGGTTTTGGGTTTAGGGCTAAGGGATTGAAGTCTTAGCGTTTTGGGTTTGGGCGCCGCAAATGAGATTTCACATCTAAGCCAGTGACATATGAAATCTGCTCTGCCGGAATATGACATCAGATTGCATAGCATGAACTGATGTTATTCCGCATAAGTGCAATGAATACCATGCAAAGTAGAAAAATCATAGCAGCACTTTGCACAACGTTATATTCTAACACGACAGTGTAAAGCACAAGAAAATGCTATACACAAGTACATCTAAACAAGTAGTGAACAACAATGGAATAGATAACAAAATTGCTATGCAACGTTCCGTTGCATAACATAGTAGTACATCATAACATGCAAGACCACACAACACACTGCAACAACACAACATAAAACAAAAAAGCACATAACATCACATAATATTTCTCAAAAAGCAGTGTAAAGTATCATCAAGTCCAATACCCGATAGCCGAAATCCAGAAAGGGTTTGGGGTTTAGGGTATTCAGGGTTTACGGTTTAGGGTTAAGGGTTAAGGGTTAAGGGTTTAGGGTTTAGGGTTTAGGGTTTAGGGCCGTTAGATCGCTGGGTGGCGGGCTGCATTCGGCCGCGATTGTTAAGCTTCGGGCCCACCACTGGTGGGGCCTCCTCGTCCTTCAGAGCTGCGCAGCCCCGGGCGGTTTAGGGTTTAGGGTTTAGGGTTTGGGGTTTGGGGTTTAGGGTTTAGGGTTCAGGGTTTAGGGTTTAGGGTTTAGGGTTTAATTTAGGGTTTAATGTTGACCTCGTAATGATAAAACCCCCGCCCCCCCTTCAATCAAACCCCCCCAAATAGAGTGGGGGCCCCTTTGAATAAGGATTCCTTTCCTTAGAGAGACTTAGAGAGGATCAGAGAGAATCACTCAGGATTCCTTTCCTTAGAGAGAATTAGAGAGGATCAGAGAGAATCAGAGAGGATCAGAAAGGATCAGAGAGAATCAGAGAGGATCATAGGGAATCAGAGAGAATCAGAAAGAAGGGCTGGGAGGGTTCTACGGGTCAGGGCTTGGTTAATACCCTAAACCCTAAACCCTAAACCCTAACCCTAAACCCTAAAGAGCTTTTTTTCAGGCAGGAATTTCCAGGAACTTTATTCCGAGGGGCAGATCTTTCAGGATTATTTCCAGGGCACCGGCCTCCAAAGCTACCCCCTTTGCCAGAAAGATTTTTTCAATCCTCTTGTAAGGCTCTCAAATAAAAAACAGCAAGTTTCTCAGGAGTTTGGTTTTCAGGTTTCTCTTCGAAATCTGATCGCTTCATGTTTTCCTATAATTAAATCCTAAACCCTAAACCCGAAGCCCTAAGACCAGGCCATACCCTTATCCCTAAACCCTAACCCTAACCCTAAACCCTTAACCCTAATTCAATAAGACTCCACAACACCTAAGTAAACCTAAGCCATGAACCCTAAACCTAATGAAACCATGAAGCGATCATTTGAAGATTTTTTTTCAGGCAGGAATTTCCAGGAACTTTATTCCGAGGGGCAGATCTTTCAGGATTATTTCCAGGGCACCGGCCTCCAAAGCTACCCCCTTTGCCAGAAAGATTTTTTCAATCCTCTAGTAAGGCTCTCAAATAAAAATCTGCAAGTTTCTGATGAGTTTGGTTTTCAGGTTTCTCTTCGAAATCTGATCGCTTCATGTTTTCCTAATTAAATCCTAAACCATAAAACCCTTAACCCTCCCTCTCTTTTCTCTCCATAAACAAACAAAGAACAACGGACACCCCCAAAAAAAAACAAGCCCCGACTGGCGTACTTTATTCCCAGGGCTTTATTATTGCGGCCGGGACACCTGGCGCACTTTAATTTACGGGGGTTTAGTAATACGAGGTTAACATTAAGGGTCAAGAGCGAAGATCAACCTCCGCCATCCGTCCTCGTCGTTGTATCCCTCGATCTTGTGCCTGGCGCAGCTGCACCCTCCAGCCCCTAAACCCTAAACCCTAAACTCTAAACCCAAAAGGCTGTCTAGGCCCCTAAACCCTAAACCCTAAAACCCTACCAGTTTTGAGATTGGGTTTTAATGTTGGGTTTAGGGAATCGGGTTTAGAGTTTTTTCGGTTGGGGGCTTCACCTTTGCGGCTCCAATGCAGGGATTCCAGGGCTCTGAGGTTTAGGAGGGTTTAGGGTTTAGGGTTTAGGGTTTAGGGTTTAGGGTTTAGGGTTTAGGGTTTAGGGTTTAGGGTTTAGGGTTTAGGGTTTAGGTTTAGGGTCGGCCGACCCTGGCGGCGTGTTGGATGGGTTCGAGGAGGTGAAAACCTCCCTCTTTGGAGGACCGCCCCCACCCCCCCCCCCACCCCCCACCCCACCCCCCCCCTACCCCCCACCCCCCCCCCCCCCCCCCCCCACCCCCCCCACCCCCTGACCCCTTCCCCCCCCCACCCCCCCCCACCCCCCCCCCCCACCCCCCCCCCCCCCCCCCCCCCCCACCCCCCCCCCACCCCCCACCCCCCCCCCCCCCCCACCCCCCCCCCCCCCCCCCCCCCCCCCCCCCCCCCACCACCCCCCCCCCCACCCCCCACCCCCCCCCCCCCCCCCACCCCCCCACCCGTCTTTTGGCTTGAGCTTCCTGGTGCTACCCGCCCCCCCCAAAACGTTTCACAGAACTCTGCCGAGCAGGCTGGGATGGTCTTCGAACCATGCGAGCGGGTTTAGACCTCTCAACTATGCTCCAGCGGGGTCGGCGGCTTGAGCCGGAGGCTCTTAAATTTAGGGTTTAGGGTTTAGGGTTTAGGGTTTAGGGTTTAGGGTTTAGGGTTTAGGGTTTAGGGTTTAGGGTTTAGGGTTTAGGGTTTAGGGTTTAGGGTTTAGGGTTTAGGGTTTAGGGTTTAGGGTTGCCTCGGTTTGGCTTAGGATGGCTTGTGCAGCACCCATACGTGCGAGTATCAGCTGTGGCTTTCTGAGGGCTCGGCTGGTCCGCTTCGAGCCCCGCCTTCAGACAAGACAGGGCTAGAGAGAGGTTGAGAGGGTTTAGGGTTTAGGGTTTAGAGTTTAAGGTTTAGGGTTTAGGGTTTTAGGGTTTAGGGTTTATAGGGTTTAGGGTTTCAAGGTTCAGGGGTTCATCAGACTACCATCATTGCCAGCAACAGGATCTTCTAGGCAGCGCAGAAGTGACCAGAGTGTGACAGCGCTGTCAAGCTCCACCCTAAACCCTAAACCCTAAACCCTAAACCCTAAAAACCCTAAAAACCCTAAAAACCCTAAAAACCCTAAAAACCCTAAAAACCCCAAAAAACCCTAAACCCTATACCCTAAACCCTAAACCCTAAACCCTAAACCAAGTCCTCTTCAGAGACATGCCCCAACACGGAGCCCCAAAACCCCACGCACCTCCTCATTTTCGAAAGCCAAGGGCGCCTCCGAGCCCCTAAACCCCGCAATCCTCAGACACTTAAGCTCCCCAATTCAGGGTTTAGGGTTTAGGGTTTAGGGTTTAGGGTTTAGGGTTTAGGGTTTAGGGTTTAGGGTTTAGGGTTTAGGACTTAGGGTTTAGGGCTTCGGGTTTAGGGTAACCATGTACCCGGCAACTCAAACCCCTGAACACACAACCTGCACCAAACTCCAAAGAATTCGGACGCCCGCTGGGGCACCGCGCCACAGCCTGTTCCAGAAGGCGTGCCTCGAATCGAACACGAAGCAGAGCCGAAAGTTAGGGTGTAGGGTTTAGGGTTTAGGGTTGAGGGTTGAGGGTTGAGGGTGTAGGGTGTAGGGTTCAGGGTTCAAGGTTCAGGGTTCAGGGTTTAGGGTTTGGGGTTGAGGGTTGAGGGTTTAGGGTTGAGGGTTGAGGGTTGAGGGTTGAGGGTTGAGGGTTGAGGGTTGAGGGTTTAGGGTTTACAGCTTAGGGTTGAGGGTTGAGGGTTTAGGGTTTAGGGTTTAGGGGGCCCTCCGAAAGTGACGAGAACCGGGATCATGGGACTCCTGGTGGGAAGCCACCCCAAAGGAGTAGCGAATCTGAACCAGCACAAGCCTTCCCACCTTAGGGTTTAGGGTTTCGGGTCCCCCAAAAACCCCAAACCAAACCCTAAGCCCCTAGCCTGCTATAACCCGTGAAACAACCCGAACTCCTGAACCCTGAACCCCCACAACCCTCAAACCCCAAACCCCAAACCCCGAACACTAACCCCAAACCATAAGGCCACAAAAAGAAAAGCAGTTCTTCCCTAAACCCTAAACCCTAAACCCTAAACCCTAAACCCTAAACCCTAAACCCTAAACCCTACACCCTAAACCCTAAACCCTAAACCCTAAACCCTAAACCCTAAACCCTAAACCCCTAAACCCTAAACCCTAAACCCTAAACTTTAACCCTGAACCCACCAAAAAGAAAGCAAGTTCTT